ATATTGCTTCTTCGAAGGACATTGATTGAAGAGTAGAAAGGGTTGTTGGGAGGATGACGAGTAAGGGGCGGTAAGGGTGAGTTGGTGGAGGAAGGGTTTTGAATGGGTGGAGTGAGGGTGGGTGAGAGAGTGTGAGGACTGATGTGAGGACCAAGGACTGAGTGAAAGTTGAGCCTAAATCTGTAGTGTATCTGCCAGATAAAGGCAGATACAAACAGATGGCTGGTTACTGCTTCAAGCAGGGTAATGGGCATCCTGTACGCCTGCTTGTAGCAGGCATATGTAGTCGTGTGAGGTGGATTTTGCTGAGGGTGCGCGTCTGCTACAGTTGGGACCGGATGGTTTAGAGCACCCATGTGCTTTCGAATCTGCTAAACTGAATCTGGCGCAACAGAACTACCTAGCTCAGGAGAAGGAGCTCTTGGCTGTGTTGCATGCGTGGCGGCAGTGGCATGTGTATTTGGAAGGCGTGGTGGCGGACACTGTAGTCCGCACTGACCATGTACATATCATTAGTATACCTGCAGAAGCAGGCTTTACCATCGCGCCGTCGTCATCGTTAGATCGAAGACTTTGCCGAGATGACGATCAAAGTGGAGTATAAGAAAGGTTCAACTCATTTTGTGCCTGACGCATTGAGTCGGCGAGCCTGTTTCCCGGGGCCACTGTGCACGACTGCAGCACAGCAGAGTAGTTAAGAAGAAGGGCGGAGAGGATGGAAGGTTCGGCATCAGTTTATCCGTATCAACCTCCCATCCCATTTTAACCCGTGAACGCCTTACGTCGTACAGAGTCGACCTTATGTTTATTGAGAACATTGAGAAGAGTCTCCGTGACCCAAGTGACTGGTTTCTGTTGATTCCATATATACTGGATCAGAAGGAGTCACCACAAAGAAAATTGCATCACATAGAGGCATGCTACGTCACATAGCAGGCTAAGATGCAATGCAATAGGTCTATTTTCCAAGGTAGGGATCTTGAAAAATGGTCCATAGTATCACATGAAGACATGCTATGTTACATAGCAAACTTCCATACGATGAAAATATGTTGGCAGTGAGTTCCCAGGGTGGGTTGACGAGAAAAGTAAAAGGGTTGCTGTGGCATCTTTGTCCAAATTTGAGTATTGCAAAGCGGACGAGACTTTGTGCTACAAAGACAAGGAGCTCTAGCTATTCATACTGTTTGATGGAGGAAGTCCATCGGGTATCAGGACATCGGGGGCGTGATGGTACTCTTGCTCTACTAAAAAGGAGGGGATGGTGGCCTGGTCGCTATGCTGATGTAGAAAATTGGTGCAAGGCATGCCCTCAGTGTCAGGTTTTTGACAACTCAAGGTTGGGGCTCGAAACAGGGGAGCAGCACCCTCTTCGGAGTACCGAACCGTTTGAACGTTGGATCAATCTCCATCTCGTCGTATCTCCTCAATTCTCCTGTCTCCCGTCGATCCCATTTCTTGCTTTCCCGACGAAGCCGAGTTGGGTTCGCCAATATCTACGTCATCCTCTCGGACTGAGCTTCCGGAGCAGTTTTTTTCCAACGGATAGTCTCTTGAACATTTCTATGAGCACTTTGTCCCTGTCTCTTACAACCATCCTACCTATAGCAGACATGTCGGCTTCTAACAACGAAGAACGCGTGAAGTTACCAGAATTGAAGGATGGGACGTTTCCGAATTGAAACAAACGTTGACATCTCGCTTTGAAGACTCGCGGATTGGAAGCTTTCCTAACAAATGATGGTCCTCGTACGGACCAGGCTGAGCTTCTCATCTATCGCCGCCAGGAAGGACGGGTCATGGAATTTATAGTGAACTCGCTGGATGCCAGTAACGATGCGCTAATCAACCTGACTGACTCACCTAAAACTGCTTATGAGAAGTTGTTGCTGTTGTGACCTGAGGGTCACATGGTGTAAACCATACCCTATAAGCACATAGGGTAACACCTGAGAATACCGGTCAGGTAACCTAGCGGCTCAGGCAGCCCATGCGGTTTGGGTCCCGATCCATTGGATCTGGTCGCTGGTTCAAATCCAGTCCCGACCAGCTTTTGGACTACAAGAGTTGCGAGCTCACGGCAGTAGTGGAGGCGTCTTAACCGCCGCCGCCGCCATAGTTGACATTGCTACAGCCACATTGGAGCCTGGTCAACTTCTAGCCGAATCTATCACCGGCATTCGTAACCTGTATAAATCAATTAGCCCAATTAGCCACCGAGGACAAAGCTATTGCCGTCATCGGAATTCCTGGCTGTGATCCTACGTAATGGGCTCGGAAAAGAATATGATTTCAATACAGCACCCTTTTAGGCTGATTCTGGTAATCTCAAAACCCAAACAGTCTTCGGATAGTTAATCATGGAAACGGCTAAACAGTCCTCTGCTGCTACTACTGCCAGAGACTACAGGGTCTGGGACTTGGAAACACACAAGGCAGTTATCGATTCATATCTTCTGTGTACTTCGCTAAGTGTGAGTAAGTTGCTGGGTTATGTTGCTGGGTTATGTTGCTGGGTTATCCAGCACCGCCGTTGCCGAGTTCCTATTTCCCTGGGTTTCGCCTTCTTGAGTTCCCTTCTGGATACTTTCCGTTGTCCAACTCAAGCCCACTCAGCCTGAACAAGATCCAGATCATTCTTGAAGGAGATAATTATAGAAAGCTCGTGAAGCTGTGGAATGAGCTAAACCCTTGACCCGACCATGAAATATTGAACACGCAATCCTTCGTCAAGCTTTGAAAGTCTTTTGTCTTCTTTCCCGTATCTAAATTCTTTCGTATCTTTTTGAACTGGTGATTACATACCCTTACAGCCTATCATCGACCGACCTGCACTTGACCTATTCCCAGCACAAAACCAAGGTAGCAACGCACGTTGACAAATCTACACGCCATCAGAAAAACCTCATCTACCTACCGATAGCACTTGGTTCCGGATGTCAATCGATTCTTTTGTTCGCATGCTGTTTGCAGGTCAAACTTCATATGAAAGAATTCCTGAAGTTTGGCCCAATCCGAACTCACCGCCCAAAAAATGGGTGAGACAAGATGACGTGAATCAGAGCTGGGGCGAATTATGCTGATCACCATTCATTACTTGACCTTCACAGAAATCTTTCAAAACTTCCCTTTTACTCGCTGTCCCGGGTGCCATCCTTGCATCGACTTTATTGTATTGTACATACATCAAATCGTAAGTTTCATTCCAAATTAACCAAAGTTAGCTTCACCACCTGACATGTTTATTTAGTATTAGCGGTCCTCAGGTGACTCGTGATCTTTCAACGCATCGGCAGAGAATTGGTGTCAGCCACGAGTCGGATCACTCTGCGACAAGAACCTCGCCATTACCCCCCTGTAATAAAACATTTTTATTCAAATTCACTTCTCTTTATGGACTTGGGTCAGAGTTAGGATTGTATGTAGGTTAACTCAAAGCATTTATTTCCGAGGTCTAATTTGTGACCAAGGTTTTTGATGGCTCTGCATCTCTTAAAAGGCAATGGCCGCACTCACAGCCTCGAAGTTGAATTATACCATTCTCATAGATGATTCAGAATGGAACTACGGGCGTCTAAGTGTAAGTGTTGGTATCTAAAACCCAAAAAGCAACAAGAAACAAAACTCATGCTCTATTTTTTTTCAGGATTATTTCGATATCGCCCCATTGTCCTGTCAACCCCCACATGACTGGAAGGAAATGCCGCGTTCGCTGTTTTCACATTCTGGACTGGATGAATCCGATCATGTCTATGCCTCTCGCTTTGAGTGGGTCTCTGTCCGAATCTCAATCATGAGAAGCCCACAAAACGTATTGACGTCCTTTGTTTTTTCAGACGCGAGGGGTATACATCATTCGTCCTGGAACAAGTTGATAAACGTGCAATTGACACGCAATCGGTCTGGAACTTTGTCAATCAAAGAGATCAGAACGCGGTGCTACCCGCCACCCAAAATTTGCATTACTCGTTGCAGTCATTCTTTGATATGAAGTCCGCCGCTCTGCGGCAAATCTGGCGACCTAACAAAATGATTCTAAACGAGATCCTAAAAATGAAAAAAGACATGAATGATAAAATGCTTCAATCACTTCCTACCACTGGTCACGCGCAGTCGAGAGTGTTTCCCCCAAATTCCGTTAATCTTGAATCGCCTCTCCCGAAAAAACTGATCTCAGTTCACTTTCGTCTCGGGGACAAAAAAGATGAGGTAGCCTGGCAGCATATGGCCGAAGCCGGAGGAATGACGTCGGCGTATGCAAAAGCAAAGCCCTATCTTGATATTGTTAGATCCTTTGTGCCCGACTGGAAAACCTCCAAGAATTTACCGGCGCTCTTTGTATTCTCGGACGACGCGGAGGCGGCGATACGTGAGTTCGATGAACATCAGTCGTTTTACTATCCCCATCAGCGCTTCCCCCTCTTCTCGTCTCCCGAAACCAAGTCGATCACCGATAACGGCTGGAATCAGACACACTTTAACCTCTCCCCTCTCGCTGTACGCCAAAAAGTAGCCTATGCTTTGATTCGGGATGTGACCTTTGCGGTGGACAACTCTGAATCAATAGTTTGCAGCTCATCGAGTAACATCTGTAACTTGATATTTCACCTACGTGGTTCACAAGATGCCATCGGACCGAATCCCTCCGTGCGGAGTGTGGACGTGCGCTGGTACCCTACAGCTTTCTATCATGAGTTCAACGACCTCAGCCTCCACCCCGTCAAGGATCGCGCCCAAATATTAGCACTGGCTCCATTACTTGCGGCCAACGAGAAAAACTACATCGAGATCTAGCCCCGTCTGCAGTTTTACCTGGTTCAATCAGTTCTCCAATAGAATACATCTCCTGCATCCCTCATTTTGCATCTCACCTTTGGCATTACAAGTCTTACTTTTTAAACAATGTTCTTGGCTACTCAATCCAATTTCCCTCCTTACTTTTTAGAATTGAAAAATGTTATCAAATAAGATTTCAGGCCTGTGGTACACTCTAGGTGGGCTCAAGGCTGACATCTCAACCTGATGTTGGGGGCTCTAGATCACGCTCAGAGGATACTTAAAGATGGCATTGATTTAGCATTTTGATTATTCTTTCCTTTGATTTTACTATGATTCCCACAGCATACAATGTTTACACCTGGCAATAGAAGCTAGTCAGGCTCCTTTTCTTGCGTTCCTCAAGTCACCGAAGTTGTAGTTTTATTTCAATTGTTTATTTGAGCTCATAGATACACATGTGTTTGGTTAAGGAGATCTATTGGGCTACCAGATACATGTCACCTCTGACAGCTTGTTTTAGTAGAAACTTCCATACCAACCACCAGCTTTTCATCACCCTCATTGAATTAAAACATTCCTTCTAGATGCTTGTGAAGAGCTACTAAAAAGGGTCAGATAACTATATTTACTGTGTCTTTGAACAAGACTTCCAAGACAATGAAAATTTCCCAAACTCACCAAAAAAAAAAAAATAAATAAATAAATAAATAAATAAATAAATAAATAAATAAATAAATAAATAAATAAATAAATAAATAAATAAATAAATAAATAAATAAATAACAGGAAAATATTTTTTTTCTCCCCAAAAATCAGTACAGAGCCAAATTTAAGAAAAGAATCACAAAAGCAATAACCAAGACTTCACTGCACTGGATGTAATCTCCCCCATATTGGAAACTCTGGCAGAAACCTGGGTCTGGCCTCTAAATATATCTTAAAAGATTGTGAGAATATTCTTGAATTATCCCTCTGTTATGTGATTTCTTTTACCACTTGATCAATGAAATATGGGAAATATTCAACAAGTTTTCCTCTTTTTTTTTTTTTTTCAATTTTCCTGTCATCATTTTCACAACCCAAATCAGTGAAGTCATTTCTTTTTTTCAATTCCATGAGATTGTGAGTGGTGCAAGATTAAAAAAAAAAAAAAAACCATTTTGGGCAAAGAGCCTTGTTCTTAGCAGAGAAAGATTTGGGCAAAATTTATCCTCAATTAAATTTTAGCACATCAATGCAATTTGTGGCAAAGCACTGAAATTACTAGAGTGCACAACCCAGCACATTGATTCTGACTTTTGTAGCACCTTGCTGATGTGCTGTGCTCCTGGCATTGGTCAGTACCATTGATCAACTTGTAGTGATTCTTGAAATGATCATAACTTCTCAAATTTGAAATCCAAAATCTGAGTTGTGACAAAAGCATAGTTACATGCTGATATTGGGGAGTTCATTTCCTCCACTGTGTACTGTAATCCAATCTAACACTCAGTCAAAGGATGAGCAAAGCCTACAAAGCTTGCAAAATCTTGATCAAGGTCTTTGAAAATTAGAAGCTCTTGCAAAACATACCAGGTGTCTTGAGCTCAGCAGATGAATGTTGGCCACATTTGAGGTTGTATGAACATTCCTATAGGTGAGGACATGTGAGGATTTTTGTACTCTGGACAGTTACTAATTGACACTGCCCCCACTTACTCCTCACCAGTAGCCCAGTGTGCCCCAAGAGATATGGCCATTATCAGTAAAATATGGGGGCAAAAGTAGGATAATGTC